TAAAGTAGAACCTAAAGTAAAGTATAGATAATGGTTATTATGTGACTTTCGATTTTCCTTTTAGACTCTACGTTTGACTAATATTCCTATGATTTGATGAATCATATAATTTTTAAAATTAATAAAGTTAATAAATATGACATTGGACAATTTGAAATTATACTTTTAAAATATAATTTTATGATTAAAATTAAACAATATTTCAAAAATAATAATTCCAGATACCGTTTATTCATTTGTTTGCTTGCTTTTATGATATACTTAATGCTACGTTAAAATTGAAAATTTCAATTAATCATTTTGAAAATCTAGGAAAGTAACGACAAGACTTAACATTGAATTTTGTATAAGTATTGAATGGCGATAAGGAAAGAAATAACAAACATCAATTAAATCCGGAGTTATTATTTTAAAAACAAATATGTATATACTGTATATAATATGACTTGTTGACAACACAAGTTTAGAATTCTTTGCATTTTTTTCTACCTCGTTTGGTTATTTTAGTCGTGTCAAAGGTCAAACACATCAATTATGCATCACCGGTTATATTTTCGCCTCGACTAGCACTAGCCTTCGCATTCGAAACACTAGTCTTAGAACCCGCGATTTTCGTGTCTCTACTAAAATCAGTGGCACCTTCATTTTTTTCATCCTCATTACCATTACCATCCGTCACCTTTGAATCACCTTCTTCGTTCATTTTTTTTTTTGACACACTCTCACCGCCAACAGTTGAGGAATTAGGCACGGGCTTTTGGGTAACTTCACCGGTTTCACTTTCCGCAATATCGATATGCTTTACCCCAGCGACGACCGCGGTAAAGGTGGAAGTCGAAGCAATTTCCTCTATACTTTCGTCACGAACATGGCCGCCCACGAACTCTTTCTTGTCAACTACCAAAAACACTTTGATAACACCATCCTAATTTTTTTTTTTTTTTTAAAAATAAAAGAATAAAATAAAAATAAACAATCCAAACCCGTTCATTTGAAATGCTGACATGGTATACTTTTTATTGACTCACCTCTTTGCGATCAAATTTCTTGTATGCTCTAGAAGCATCGGAGAGGTCCATGTTATGGGTGAAAAATTTATCAAATATCTCACCAGCCTTAATAATTGGCAGCAATTCTGACCAGTACTTTTGTGGATGTACTTGTCCGCCTCTGAGAGTCAAATGCTTTTCCATGGAAGCGCCGATTGGAAAATGATTCGCTAGATTTACGTAATCACCAACAATGCTGACGACGCCGCCTTTGGAAAAATCGAGGCTGGTTAATTCCGATAGTATAGTTGAATGATAACACGAATATCGATTTTTCTCACCCTTCTTAGTGCATTTGATAGCTTCGTCGAGCGCATCGATGCAATCGGTTTCGGCAAAGAGCGCCTTCTCCAATTTATGCCTCCACGATTTGTTCGTGTAACGGAACCCAACGGCATCAACCGTGACATCAAACCCGCCGGGCGCCACTTTCTTCACACTTCCAATCACATCCTTCTCCTTGAAGTTAATAACTTCGGCGCCAATATCACGGGCGAAAGCTAATCGAGCTTGAATGCAATCAATCACATAAACTCGTGAAGCACGACGATATAACGCAAGGGCCGCGGTCATCAAACCTACAGGACCTGCACCTATATTTAAACACCAAAGATGTGAATAGGTTTTGAAATAAAGTGACAATCATCAACAGTTTCTTCAAACTTTTACCCCAAATTCCAACCACGTCGCCTATAATGTGTGTAATTTTCAATAAGAATAATGATCGAAAGGTTTTATGAGTGCCCAAGACAACAGATTAGTGACTTCTTTACCTTGCTTTATACCTCCCAATTCATTTGCATGCCAACCAGTGCAAGCGACATCTGAGAGCAACAAAGATTTCCTCTGTGTTCATAAAAGCAACATGCAATTTAGGCCAATGGGATTTCTTCTCCCAACGACATTGAAAAAAAGATTAATCTATTGACATACACCCAAAAGCTTGTAATCCTCGGATGAAAGCCGGAGAAGGTTCACATCAGCGAAAGGGACGCGAACGTATTCGGCCTGACAGCCTAAAATATTAAGGTTTTTTTTTTTTTTTTTTTTTTTCAAAGATAGTGCGCAAAAAATTCCAAGAATAAAAAGTCACTACCGTCATATCCTCCGGTCAAGTGCGAATAACCGAAAATTCCAGCAATGTGATGACCTAATTTGAGAATGAAAAGTCAATAGATGATGCTGGTTTTGGACTCGTGATAATTGAAAAATGAACATCCGAATGTTTACCGTAAATTTCCTCCATTTCTTTGCTAGGGTTGGTGATATCGCAACAACTGAACAAACCGGTTTTGCAGTATTCGCAAGAACCGCAAGAAATAATTGCAGAAATGACAACGCGTTCCCCAACTTCAACGGCGCTCACTTGTTCTCCAACCTTACCATGATGATAAGGAGAGAATTTATTATGATCACTGTTTCACGCAATTCCAGAAGTACAAAGTTCAAACCCACCTCGTGAACGATGCCAATTGCCTCATGACCTATCACATCACCTTTTTGCATCCCCGGAAACTCTTTATGGTAGAGGTGAAGATCCGAACCACAGATAGTCGTTGCGGTTACGCGAATTATGGCATCAGTTTGTTTCTAATTTGCGGTAACGGGAGAAGGAAAGGCGAACATGCCATGAATTTTTTTTTCGTTTCTCACGGGGAACCTGGCACACGCTGAACGACGAAAAAAAGAGAAAGAATTCTTACAATGATCGAAGGCCTTTTCCGTTTATGAGTAACCTTAATGTCCGTACTCCCGTGCCATTCAACAGCCATCATGGTCTCTTTTGGACTCCTGGAGGTTCTCGTGGAGACAACGGATGTTGGCCGTGTGCTGGACGCGCTAACATTTTCCGACAACATGAGGAGAGGAAGGAGAAAAGGAAAAAGAAGGAAAAGAAATATATATATAAATATATGTATGAATCAAGGATGTCAAGAGAGAAAAATTATGGTAAATAACAATATATATATTCAGGTTTATTTGGTTCTTGTGAGGTCTGAGAGAGTGAGGAATGGGGAATAAAAGTAATATGGAATTACATAATCACAAATGTCTTTAGGCCAAGCCATTGCCTAATAGCAAAACGTTCATTCATTACAAAATTCTTATGTCATGCTATATTTTTACATGACCAAAAAAAACTCCGTTTTTTTTAAATTCACGGGTATACAGTATAATCTTTTCCTTTTAATCGCGCTCAGAGTTAATTTTCCTACGCAAATTATGACACCGTTTCGAGATTTCGGGTGGAACCGTGTGAGCAATGACACATTTCTTTCGTCACACTAACTTTCTTAAATTCGTGGGTAACTGACGCTTTGGAGTCGATGATTTACTTGATTTTGATCCCGATCAATTCACATTGTTCACATGCGGGACTTGATTTCCAATGGGTTTGCTTTGCTTTTCTCGCGGAGCAAAATAGATAGATTATAAAAATTCCGCTTGTCAAAAAAAAAAAAAAAAAAAGAATCTTTATCATTTTAGGAAATATTTTGCGCAAACACCTTTTTTTCATTTACTGTAAATTCCGTTATCCAATGCATCAATGTAAATGTGATCAAGGATCGATATTGCGGCGTGATGAAATCAAGGAATCACGTGGTAATGATTTCTCCAATCACGAACAACTTTCCGAACCGAAGATTCTTGATCCAATTTCTTTATATTCATCAATTAAAATCTCGATTCTATTCTCATAATAAAGCACAATGGCCCAACATTCAATTCCACAAAATTCCGAGTTCATCACATTCGCACAATGCCGCTCTTTTCATCCTGCATTTCGCAGGAATCTGTTCTTTCCTTTAGGTACACTCCTATTAACAACCACTTATATCCAAGTCATCTCCTCTCTGCTCTCCATAACCTTCCCTTCCTTTTTCATAACAGGAGTGTTCTCCAAATCCCACGAGAAACAACAGCTGGACATAACCGCGCCGTGGTCAAAGTATGATATCCCGTGTTTCAATGTTACGTCGCCATCGCCGGGTGCGCAGTTAGATCCTAACGATCGGGTGTACATCAATTGGGAGATTTTGCCCGAGTGTTACCAAGCGATGTTGGGTGATAATGGAGGTGGTGGGAGTGATTACGACAGTCAAGGAAATCCGATTACGCAATGGAATCCACATCGGAATCCGTCTAATCCATCCTTCAGGGATCACAACAAGTCAAATTTAAAAGGCGGAAAAGAAGCGTCATTTCCAGAATTTCAAAATACCACGTTGACTTCATTACCTTCTCATCCAATTAGCTCGAAACCACCATCACCATCACAATTAAATAAAATGTTCCGCACATTTACAATCACCCTTTACAGTAATCCAAGATCCGTCGGTCAAATAGTGTCACCCAAAGTGAAATTCGACCACAACTTTGTCATCGATCAATCTGCGACCAATCCATACCTCTGGGTGGTTCCATATTTGACCGACAAGAAAATCGAGAACATGGAAGCATTTTACGTGAGAGTTGTTGGGTACTTAAATAAGGGTGGAAATGAAACGAGTAGAGTGGATAAAAGGGAAAATTATTCGAGCAGAAGGGATGGAAATACCAAGGGCCAAGAGTCATTCGTCGTCGATAAGAAGACGTCAGAATATGGCTACTCGGGTGTTACGGGACCATTTAGTATTAACCCCATCGCCGCCAAATTTCCAAGGACATTGTATCCCACTTGTACTACCTCGTCCATCGATAGCGTTCCAACAGCACACAACGTCGAAGGGGATGAAGAAAGTGGAGTGGGCGCGATGGCAAAGAATTTTACAGGCTACCTGGAATATGAAGGTGAAGATGAGATGAGTGGTGTTGGTGGAGTGAGCGTTAATGAGGAAGTTCGAATGGGATGGTGGATAGGGTGGATGGTGGTGATGTGGATGAACAGGAGTTAATTTAATTAGTCAACCCGGTCGGGTAGATTCACTGTACGTGCGTACCGTGGGCAGCTATTAACTTGATACATGCGAGGGTAAAATTGACGCGAGGTTACACAAAGTAACTTGGTTTTTCGGTATTACAGTACCAGGCTTTATAAAGGATTATTACGTTTGCCGAAATAAAAAGACGGTACACGGTTGTGACGAAAAAATATATATGTATATATACAGTATTTTGCACTAAACTATATACTGATCGAAGGATCTATATAATCGCAAATATCGCCATCACATTACAATCAACAAAACGACATCAAACTAAAACCAATTAAGAACCGCAAAGCCGGTAATTGTTCTGGCGACAAATTAGGTAAAGTTGGATCGACGAGAGTGTGAAATTAAGTTTGTTTGTCCATTAATAACGATGATTCATAGGCTGAGATCTCAGTGCGTGCATAATTATTTCACCTTGTACTATTGAAATATGCAAATAGAATAGTGTTTAGACAAAATATTTAAGTAGCAAGGTATGACGTCTTTCCGAGATTATATACCTTTTTTGCCAACAATCACCTCCCCCGAAGGACACATTAAGGATTGTTGATAATTAATTAATTAATTGAGCTTGTGTGGGTGAGGGGAAGTTGCTTTCCCACGGGGTACACGCGTATCTATTTGAAAACGCCTTGAAATTTATCCAAATTTGATTAGTTGATTAGACGAAAACAAAAGAAAACCGAACTGCCTGTCAATGTCACGACCACTCTGATTATTTCTCCACGTGGTGCAGGTCGATGAATACATCATCCATCATGCATGTAAGCGAAAATCATTTGATGTTTAAGAGTATTTTTAAGAGAAACACGGACAGATTAATTGGCGAAAAAGAGAGCACAATATGATTTCAATCTCAATTTTAACATTGATATAAATTATTGCCGCAGGTGTAAACCTCATTAAAAGTAAAGGCGCTTGTGGTCCGAGTTCGGGAAGACTGAGAGACGCGCGATCACATGTGCCCTCCAATTCTATTCTGTTGAAGCAGTTCCACCAGAAAGGGGAAGAATAAAGAAAAGTTTGTATTGTTTGTTTTAATGGAATTTCTGTATCCCGTGACTCCTGGTCCTATGACGACGACAAAATGTTCATGACCAAAAAGCGTGACGCATCACAATTATGATCCCAGAGGGTTTCCCTTGAGATCGAATTTAGATAAATATGGAATGAGCGGAGATGCAGATGGTAAATGTAATACAACAGAACACCGGGTACGACTCTTTGCAAAAAAATAAGCGATGGTCATCTTGTTGTGCGGAGAGGAAAAACGAATATGGATTAGGCGAAAAGCGAACACACCGGTGAATTATAGATCAAAACGAGAGAGCAATTGAATCTGGTGAAATGCTAACGCTCAAAAGTGATTGAATGTGAAACTTTACTTTTACGTATTTGAATTTCCGAAACTCGCGCACGAATGCAAGATACGTACTGTATGTACACCTTATGTCAACACAATCACATGCAGTTAAATTATATGAAAATCTATCATCTTTAATGGACTGTTTGGTGTTAGCAATACGGCAATCTATTTTATCGATACGCTATCCTATTATTATAACATAATCAAACACCTCACCGAGCCGGGTTACTCTCGTACATAACATACATACGGTACTGTATTTTTTTTTTTTTATTCTTAATTTTTTTTCAACCAACATTAACCTGCGCACGTGAGGTTCGCGTAGTTGACATCCGAATCGTTGTTATTATTGTTATTGTATTGACATACAGCAATATTGACATCCAGTTCCCGTTTATTGACTTCTATATTTGGTGCATCGAAAATGACATGTCCGCCGTCGTTCTCACCTATCATTTGATCAAGAGGTTTGTTCTGATGAGACGAGTTTTTTTTTTTTAAGATTTGGTCATTCCGCCGCATGCACACCTAAAATAAAATAAATAATAATAATAATAAAAAAAAAAAAAAACCGATCCCATAACGGGCGCAACCATCCCCGGTCCCACGGTAATTTAATACGGTTGTTAATGAATTGGAGTTTAGTGATAACTCACGGAAGGATTGCGGACGGATGAGATGCACACACACATTCATTTTTTTTTTTTTTTTGGTTTTTTCTCCTTCACCATACTTCTCAATCTATTAAACAAACGCAATCAATAAATTGCTTTGAATTTTTTTTTTTTTTTTTTTTTTTTTTTTTTGTATTTCCATCTTTCCGATTTTCAAAAAACGTACGTGCTGTGCGTACACGCTTGATTGAAACGTTCGTTACAATAGTATATCTTATATTATTCTATGCACAATCCATTTTAATTCAATTTCTTAACTCAATTGTATGCACCGTTGCATTCTCCTAACTTCTTTTGCTCTTCTTAAATATCCGATATTGCCTTTTGGAATTTTTCATAATATCAACTCTTCCTTGCATTCTTCACTTCAAATTTGAGAACAAAAGCACAATCGACCATTTTTATCCTAATCTCAGGCTTTTCCTACAATTACACCACATCGTAAGTTCTTTTTCGACAACTATGGCGCCCTTCGTTTTATTCATTCATCCATCCATTCATTCATCTATTTGTCAAACCTTTATCAATTGCACCCAGTTAGTCCGTCATTCATCCAATCCTTTTCACCATAGTGTTTCTTTTTTGGAGCTATCTCTTTGTTTTATTTTAAAGGAATAAAGATTGGTTCGAAAGATTATCTTTTATCCTCCTTTCTTCTTTGGGTTACATTCATTCGTGTTGCTTTTTTAGTTGCATCTGTGCTATTGTATAATGCATGGACTATTCGTCATATCACGATTCAATGTGTCCGGTGGATGGCTTGAAATAAATTCTTGCCTTCGTCTCACCTTCCCCCCTCCCCACTCATCATTCAGGGATCACTGAGTTTTTTTATCTTACGAATGCAAATCTTTCTTCAGTTATTTAGCAACACTCGGATCCCTTTTCCCTTGAATGCTCATTCAGGAAAGTTCCATTCACGAAAAATTTATAAATATATTCTCGCGCACAGCAAGGACGACCTTCTTCGCCACAATATAAATCGCATCTTCCAACATGCCCAAAGTGAACACTAGCGCTGCTGGTAATACCATCTCGCCTCCCAACACCAACACCACCACAGCCTCCACCGGCTCCTCTCCCACCCGCTCAAAACGTCGTCAATCGATTTGCACCTCGCAGCTTCTGAAGCATCCCTCTCCCGACGATCTCACGGCTTCAAAAATCCTTGCCGGTATCACCGCAGAATCGATCCCGTTGCCCGACACTCAATTCATTCGTCGCGTTCTGGAAAACTCTCGTCGCGCGAAATCCAACAAAAAGAATGATCCCCCGCGACCACCCAATGCATTCTTTCTGTTTCGCAATGCGTTGCACACGCATCTCTCTGCGCACAACCTGAAGGTCCCTCAGGTTTCCTCCGCAGCGGGTAGATTGTGGGATTGCGCGGAGGAGGAGACAAAAAGTCAATATACGCGGCTGCAAGAAATCGCAAAAGTTTTACACCTGGAGATGCATCCGGGTTACGTTTACCGCCCGAGAAAGAGCAGTTTGAATGCTCACCAAGATGGCAAGAAGGATGAGGGTCGAAACGTTGCGCAGATGCGAGAAGAGATACGGGAAGTTGGCAAGAACGAAATTGAGAATGAAGTAGAATGTATAGTCGAAGGCGCAGGGGAACGGAAAGGGCGAAGAAATTCCCGAAAGGGCATGACCGCGAGAAGTTGTTCTCAACCGAATACCACGAATTTCAGTATGATGAATCGAGTGCCACTGCTTTCTTCTCCCTCTTCATCCACGAACTCTTCGTTAACCTCCTCCGCACCCTCCTCCCCCGAAAAATCTTCGCCCAAACAACGATTTAATCTTCACAACAACAGAGAAAATCCTACGAATTTATCAAGCTCTTTTGGTTCTCGTGTTGGCGACAACACCACCATGGATAACTTCAGCTCGCGTAATCCTGTTGACAATTTTGACTCGAGTGTCGAGAACAAAATTGATAATAATTTGCGCAACGATCGTGAAAAACACATGAAATTTCGCGCGCGACGCGAACTACATCCACAAAATTCCGAATTCTCTCAAGAACCTTTGTCACTGCAACCCCTTTCGTACAATAGAAGCCATAGCGGAAGCGACATTCTCAATCGCCAGTACCAGCCTACCGCGTTCAAACTACAACCTACATCGCCCACAACCTCCTTCAATTTCTCGAGCCTCAATTTGTCATCACCCCAAAGTCGACCCCTGCCACACATGCCCTTTGGCTATTCTCTCGGCGGTGACGGCGGTGGTGGACTTGAAAGAAAGGATAACAGAAGAGCTTCGATGACTGCACACTTGAAGCCCATGACGCGAAGAGAAAAAGTTGCGAAAGTTGGGTGTGATTCGAATGAAATTATATACGCGCGACCAATGATCCTCAATAATGACGGCGCCACCTCGATATCGCGGTCATCCAACCCCTCCCCGACGCCTTTCGAAGCATCAGCGGCTTCTACCCTTCACACTCTTCTCCCATCGTCCGCCGTCTTCCCTCGATCAGTTCACTCGTCATTCTTAAATCACCATCCTCAAATAATCACGTTCGACCAGAGTCAACCTGATTTCTCACAATTACAAGGGCATCAGTTGCACCTGCCCGCCAACGATTTTTCTCCGCAAAACTCGATAAACATGGAGGTCACCCAACCTTTCCATTATTTTTATCAGCATCAACCACCATCACCGCATCACCGAACACATCTCGTAGACCATGCGTTAACCAACACGCTAAATCATGAGTATGATGAGGATCTCGTCGACGGCTATGATGATGAAGACATTATTCTTGAGGATTGTAAAAATAATTTCAACAATTTTCAAAACTCTTCTCATCATCCAATATATTCGGCGATGTCGTCGTCATCATCGCAATCTGCAGCGGCGTCCGTCAACGTGATTTCGACGTCTAAAATTTCGTCACCAATCGACTCATTTCCGTTTATCAATCAAAGGCTTCCATCCGACAATTCAAACATTCCCGATTCCACCACATTTGACTCTGCAAATTCGGGTGGTGATAAAATCGGTGATGAGAGATTGAGTGATCCCGGGGAATTGGATTTGACGAATGTCAGTCAAGCTTCGTTGCTGCTCACGAAACCCATAGAAGACAGAACCAAAGAGTCCTATGAACACATCAACACAGGTGAAAACGAGAGAGGACGTGATCGACGTCAAAACGGCGGAGAGGAATGTTTTGAGGACGAAATCGGGATTCACGGAGATGGGGAGTTCTTGACGGTTGGCGCCACAACAACCAATCGTACGGGAATTTACCTGAACCTAATGGGTTGCATGCAGAAACAAGATTATCAACAACAGCGGCTTCATCAGGCACACCCACAATATAACCAACCCCAGCAAACACATCAGCAAGACGAACAGTATAGTGAATGGATCAATTGGAGTGAAAATTTGCAATAATAAGACTAAGATTTCCAATATATATATATATATATATGTAAGTATGTATGCTAGATAAGAGTGGTTAGACATTCACAATTTACAAAGAAAAGAAAAAAGAAAAGAAAAGAAAAGAAAAGAAAAAAGAAATTCCCAAGGTCAAGTTGTAGTTATTTATTTATGACAACTTTATTTGCAAAGGTAAATAAATGATGGTTAGATATAGTGTATTCTCTTTCACTCTTGGGTCACATCACATTTCCTTGTAAACTACGAATCTTTTAATGAAATATACCAATCCACCTGTAAATTTCACAATCTGTTTAATAAATCTCTCACTATCATAAGATTTTATTGCATAACAAAATCTCAACTCGTCACACCATCTCGTAAGCGAAAAAATTTTTTTCCTTTGTCAGGAACAGATTATTAAAACCGATTATCTAACATATGCGACCGGATAGTCGAGCCCCAACGATCCCTCTCTTCAAAAGAGATCTCGAATGCGCACATAATAACCGGTCACTCACAGTGGCATGATTTCTAAATTTAGTAACGGAAATGATTGTACCCTTAGAAAAGGAAAGATGATTAGTATTGTATAATCGGCATGATTTTTTATATTATTTGTACTGTATACGTACTGTATATAAAGAATTTAATTCTTTGTTTTAATTTCGTTTATTATTTATTATTTATTTGTTTATTTGAATTCATTATTCGAATTGATTAGAAGCGATCTTTATCATTTCATGATTCTCATAGAATCAAATTTAAAATTCGTCGATATTTTGAAAGGCATGAAACAAGCGAAATATCTGAATGAAATTAAGAAGGATCGATCGAATTTTGAATAGAGGACATACATATAAAAATCATCGTCAAATGAATGAATGAATGAATGAATAAGATTTGTTTGCTTCCATAAAATTGCGTAATAGAATTTAAATTAATAAAAGCGTTTATTTCTCATTGAATTTTGTCGACACCTTTTTTTTTTTTTTCAATACTCGAATGTTCACATTTCCAGTGTGGAAAATTGTAATACGATGTAAAAAAAAAACCTTTCTTGACAAAAATATTATATTAAAAAATCGTAGGGTGATAGATCAAATTTACTTTCAATAATTGCAAAGTACAGTATATAATCATCAATTGTTTATTAAGTAAATTAAATTAGGTTATTATAAAGTCAACTATACTTACAATTACAGTTGTGAAATTTGAAACGTTTAATTCAAATATTACTTTTAGCATTTAACATTCGAAATTTGCATTAAATTGACAAAAAATATATTCCATTTAATTTAATCATCTTTGCCTTTTTAAATTATTGCAATACAAGTTTTCAAAGAATTTCAGTTTGTTATTTTAATATACAGTATACTGTAAATACTTTTTTTTTTTTTTTTTTTTTTTAAACCCTCTGTCAGGCTAGTTATGTGTGCTTTATTAAACAATTGTAAGCTGTACATAT